TATATATATATATATATATATATATATATATAATTTCAAGTTTGTGTGTACTTTCAATGAATCATACATAAGTTAATTATCTTGCTTAAAATTTTCATTAAGCTCATCAATTTTGTGAAACAATTTAAAAACATTGGAGACCACCAACCTCTCTTGTGTTGGCATACATTATGGTCCAGGCTGCAGATTTTCATCTTAACTCTTCTTGTCCAAAGAGGGGAACACCATACTTCACTCCTGCATGTTCATGGAACAGGGTTTCACCTTGTCCATAAAAGGAAAAACTTTCTCTTTGGAGGAACCTCTATGATGGTGCATTTTCCCAGAAAACTTGCTGAGAAGTGAAGTCTCTAATTGCCAGTTTTCTACTTTAGCCTTATTCTATGCTTTAGTCAGGTCCTTGTACTTGATCTCTATTAATACAGTTTGTTTTTCATATTTCTGAAGGCCATATGTGAAGTGGCTAAAATCATGGTGTCAGAGAGACAAGAATTCAATCAGTGTATGTTAAGTCCTTGACATATTTGAGTCGGGTCGGGTAGGGAGACCTGCTTTGTCTTCTCAGCATCCTTGTTTAGTTTATTAATTTCTCTTGGATCTTCTGTTACTTCAGTTTTATTCTTCTGTAAGAAAAGCTATCAAAACAGTGGCAAACAGGCCAGTCCCATAATCCCTTATTTGGCTTGTGTGTTGAAGATTACAAAGGAGAATTATCAGACTTGAAATATAGAATGAGAAACTGTTAAGGTCAACTCCCCCCAAACCTGAAGTTTTCATTATTAGAAATGCATTTTGGGGGACAAATGCTTTCGTTTAAAATCATTTTGTCAGAGGGGACACTCAGGCTGGTGAGACAGGGTAGACAAGGCAGTAGCAGTCCTCAGCTAACAATCGACAATACATGGAGGCTTTGAATTTGCCCAGAATATCTTCTGGGCATTAAACATACTAAATCTACCCTTAAAAGAAGCAAAGTTTATCAGTTTCACTCATCTTCGTCAAAATTAGCTAAGATCTGTCATGCACTACATAGTAAAGCTTTTATCTATTCTCATCAGTACTGCCCAATAGATATTTATGCAGCGTTAGAAACGTTCTATCTGTAAGGCAGCCACTAGCCACAGGTGGCTGTGGAGCACTGGGAATGTGACTAGTAGACTGAGGAACTAAAATTTTAAATATTTAAAATTTAAATAGGTAGATGTGGCTAGTGGCTACTGTATTGAACAGCACAGCTCTAGGTAATGCTCATATGATTTCGATCAGAATGAAGCTTACAGAGAAAGAGGTTGGCACTCCTTCTCTATTGGTCAGATAGCAGCAGGTCACACCTTTGGAAATTTTACGAGGCTGAATCTCCTCTTTCTTGGGCTCTATGTGACAAAATGGGCTCTTACTGCTCATGATTTAGGAGCAATTAGTCCTGTCTAAACTTAGATTTGCTTTCCTTCTCTCCACAGTATCATTGGGTTTATTTTTAATTCCTTGTTTTGTCTTTGATTTTCAGTTCCTTGACCGTTATTCTGTGGCCTGCCCCTTCTCTTTATGTAAGTAAAAGTGGTTTTTTTCCTTTTCAAAAAAGCACCAGATTTGGGAAATTTGGGTCTTTTTTTTTTTTAATTTTTATTTTATTTTATTTTTTTAACATCTTTATTGGGGTATAATTGCTTTACAATGGTGTGTTAGTTTCTGCTTTATAACAGAGTGAATCAGTTATACATATACATATGTTCCTTTATTGGCATGTTCTCCAGTTGACATTGTTGTGGTTTCCAGTGCTTCTTCAGTGTGTATTAGCTTCTTTTGTGTTTGGAGTCAACGCTGTCGGTGGTAGTAGTAGTTGCCATCATGAGGGGGCTGAAAAGACCAGCATCCCAAGCCACTGGACTTATATGATGACTTCCTTTGATTTTTTTTCTCTTTCACTTAATCTGTTCTTTTCTTCTCAAATGTAAGACAGAGCACGGAGAATAATTTTATCCATGCACGTTATTTACTGTGTTAATGACACATTCAATCTTTCTCCTGCCATCTTACTATTATTATTATTATTTACATCTTTATTGGTATAATTGCTTTACAATGGTGTGTTAGTTTCTGCTTTATAACAGAGTGAATCAGTTATACATATACATATGTTCCTTTATTGGCATGTTCTCCAGTTGACATTGTTGTGGTTTCCAGTGCTTCTTCAGTGTGTATTAGCTTCTTTTGTGTTTGGAGTCAACGCTGTCGGTGGTAGTAGTAGTTGCCATCATGAGGGGGCTGAAAAGACCAGCATCCCAAGCCACTGGACTTATATGAAGACTTCCTTTGACTCAGCCACGGCTGCTGTTTGCAAAAGTCACTGCTCTTCTAAACTACAGCTTGCATTCTTCAGTCAGATACCAGCCACAGTTGGGCTTTTGCTCCACTGTCAATCAATGGGCAATTGTTTATTCTTCAGTTATACACCCATCCCTGGCCCAATAGTTTTTAATTTCAACTTCTAGATCAGAGCTTTCATTTTTTGGACAAAATTTCTAGTATCCTTTTACAGGAGGTACAAGACTGAAGTACAAAACTTTAGTTATTTAGGCTAAAATTGTGTGTGAAACAGTAAAGTACAGAAAAAAAAAAAGAGAGAGAGAGAGAGAGAGAGAAATCATGTGCCAGGAGGTTTATACAAGGTACCATTCTTTTTTTAGAAAAGATGGAAAGTCATTTGGGGAGAAAAAAACAACAACAACAACTTGATTTCAGATGAAAAGAGAGAACATTTATAATTTAAAGCCCAAATCAGGCTGCACTGAGTTGGTTTGGATAAATTTCACCTTGAGCTGCTTGAAAGAGATTCTGGGGCCACGAACCCAAATAATCAAAGTCACTACCTGAGACACCACCCAAGAGATGCTACAGGTAGTGGCAGTTACCTCACGTGATAAATATTATCAGCATCCTTCCAGCTGCTTCTCACTCTCTGGTGAACGCTGTCCCTTATTCACAGCATACTATCTTCACTGACTCCTTCACACTCTGAGGTATTTCTTGTGTTGCAATCATTTGCACAGAAAGGAGGTTCCCAAGGCTCTTTTGCTTGCGTGAGGCTTCCACTCACATTCCTGGAAGCTAGTTGCAAATATATGTAGGGGAGCAGAATCTTCCAAAGGATGCTAAGGCTAAAGTCTAAAGTGACATTTATTTGACAGAGAAAGGAGATTGATTAAACTCCCCAGAGACTGGTGCTGTGTGTAATGCATTTATACAGCAGGGGTGGGTCCTCTCTGCCCCTGACAAGTCTTGTTATTCCTCATTCTTGGTGTTGATAGAGTGGGTCTGTCAGTGATTCGGAGGGTGTCAGCATGCATGCATGTGGTTACCACTTTACGTCTCTGCATCCCGACTCCAGTTACCTAGCACTGCATATTTCTAGTCCTCTGACTGGCAAATCATTTTTGTTGCAGTTCTTTTGTGTAAAAACAGTTCACATAATAGCTCTGTGTTAGACAAGGCATTAATCCTCACATCACCGGGGATGAATCAGCACCGTGCACTTCTGCCCGCACGGCTCAGCTATTATGACGTCAGCACTGGAGGGCAAGCCTCAGACATAAGCAGTGCAGCAGCCTGGAGACCTGGGTCACAGATTAGAAATCGATGGGAGACCTTTGAGATAAAAAACGTAATTGAAAGGCTGTCTCTGGCTCATAGGAAAATGTGAAGCTGATTCTATGCTATATCAACCATCAATCTCACAGCTTCTAGAGAGATCCAAGTTTTTAACCAGAGAGGAGGCTGAGCAAATGACCTGAATGGGCTAATAGCCCATCCACATATCCACTAACCTTTTCCCACCCCCCAGGCTAGGCTTCATGCTTGCTTAGATTGTTCCAAATCCTGAGACTGCCTTTATTTCAAAGGTGACAGGGCCTATGACAGTCCTGCTGTCCTCAAGTGCCCCACAGACACAGATGATGGCTCCAGAGGTGGTGCCCCAGGTGCCCATCAAAGGGAGAAGAAAAGTTCCTTGGGGACAGATCAAAACATTACTCTCCCCAGTGCTTCTAGTTCCTAGTGCCTCTTTAATGGCCTCCTCCAGACAGGTGCAGCATTCTGCCTGTTCAACTTTTTTCTCCTCGGCACTGCATTTAGTCCAAAGTCCCAGTCTGGATTTGACACAGATTTCAATAGGAGCTGTATAGCTTCCAGATGTTCCCCCAAAAGTGTTTCATCCCATTAATCTTTAGCAGAGCAAAGAGGAGCCCTCTATAACCTGCCATGCTGCCTTGAAGCAGATAGCACAGACTCTCCCTATTTGAGAAACTAGGTTCTTTAAAGGTAGACCTCTCTACAGTTCGTACTAAGGTTCATTCTCAGAACAACACCTTTCCATATTGAAAACTAAATGTTGAAAAGGCTGAAAATTAACTGCCTACATTCTCTGTTAATAAGACATTCCTCCATCACACCCTCTATCCCTCACTCTTCCTTTCACCCTGTGATAACCATCTAAAGTGCCTTACTGCTGGGGTCTTCTGCCTTCATTAGATTGCTAGTAGGCCCCTACCCTGCTTCTAGAAGCTAATACTACTGCTTGGCTTAGGTTTTGATTGATTATCATGCACAGCTCTTCATTCAGTTTTCAGTCAACAAACACTTATGGAAAGCTGGTCACTATGCTCAGTTCCTAAAACTGCTATATAAATAAGAAATGCTCCCCATTGTTAAAAATCTCACAGTCCAGTAGGGGAGATATATAGTAAATAAAGGCCATGCCATGTGATAGGCACTGGAATGGACGTATATACAAGATGTAGCGAGGGGAACAAGAAAGGAGCACCCGCCTGTGTGTAGGAGGTGGCCAAGCTGGGCCTGAAAGTCTAAAGAGTGAATTGTAGTTTACCAGGTGGATGGGAGGAGGGGAAAGCAAAAGGGGATCATAATCAGAAAAAAAGCCAGAGGAAAGTCAGAAGGTATCTGCGCAGCAGCCTCATCCCGAGTTCCTGGCTAGAGCTTGGTGATTGAAAGGGGATCCTTTCAAAGGAGATGAGGCTGGAAAGTGGGCAGGAGGCAGATCACGAGGGCCTTGTATGCAGAGCAAAGAAGTTTGGACTGGAAGCAGCAGGCTTGGGGACGCTCTGAAGGATTTTAAGTAGATTTATGTTTTAGGAGAAGAGCATTCTGGTGACTGAGAAAAGGGAGACCAGATCATAGATGAAAACCAAGGGCCTGAACTGTGCAGTGGGGCTGGGAGTGGAGGGGAGGGGCGATTCGGTAGTGCTGACATAGACACTGACGTTTGCCTAGTGCCAGCCTGGCTTGGCCCCGTGCATAATCCTTGCCTTCTAGGAGAAAGGCTGATATGTTCTTTGGGGCCAAATTTCAGGCCAAAATAGACCTTTATGGAACCTTCACCAGAGACCTCAACTTGAGTCTGACCTACCGCTCTCCAGAGATGTGTGTGTCTCTCTCCCATAGTGGCCTTGGGGGAGTGGCAGGCAGAAAAGGAGAGAACATTGCCAGTGTCCCGCTTTTCTCTTCTTTCACCTGAAAATGAAACCATTTCTTAATAATATCCCCCTAAAGTCAATCATTGCCCCAGTTTCCTATCATTTTCCCACTGCTGCCCTTTTCTGAGGAGAAGTTCCAAGCCATTGAGCTGAATTGCAACTTATGCACAGCCGGGTATTGAAACAATGCAGTGTATTTGTTCCTTCTTTCTGAATTAGAGTTCACCATAAGTGTGCTTTTCTCTTGTTCACTTTGGGCTGCCAGGACAATTTAAAGGAAATTTTCAACAGCTTATGTTGCATGTACCATGTTCTTTTTTGCAAATGAGAGGATGTCTGTGGGTGTGTTTAAGTCTTCTCTGTACTACTTTCTGGAGAAAGGTTTGAGGAGATGAACAAGATAAGGAGTAGAGACCTATTGAAAGCCCAGGTCCCTTCAGTGACCTGAGTGCAGAACGTAGGCTGGTGATCAGATGGTCAATTATGTGTTTGTCAAAGCACAGTGGGCTGCATTCCAGACTGCCAGCTTTGGAGGCCCGGCTTCTGCCAACCAAATGTCATCTGGGAACATGCAACACTGGGCACTGTGAAGGAGTTTGAAATAGACCATGCCACAGCCAACCTACTGCCAGTCTTATAGCACCAATATGGCATGCACAGCCGGGCCCCATGTTTCAGAGCTCAGGAATTCACTGTTCTAAATTCAAGAGGTCAGATGGGTTCATGTTTTCAAAGCCTATGTTCTCTGCTTTGAACATTGTGACTTGCTCCTCTGTGATTTCCAAGTGATTTTTTCCAGTCACATCGCTGTGGAAACCACTCTTTTTGTGATGGTTATGAGAGCCTTGTCAATGTCCCAGAGGAGAGAAAAAAAATAAACTTGCTCTGACAATGACTATGATTCCGACATAGGGATTCCAACTCTTAGGAAATTACATTAAAGGTGCAGAGCTTTTAAAATATCAGGAACCACCTTGGCAACTTATAAAAAGCAGAAGGGCTTTGCCTATTTTATAAAGTGATTTGCATATACCTGCATAAATAATGTCCCCACCTGT